TTGTTCTGAAGTTGCCTGCAAAAAAAGCTGAATATAAACAGAGGAACAAATATTTAAATGAAAGAAAATTAAAGGTAAACCATCTTCAGTACATTGAGAAAAATCTTGTTCTAAAGAAAATGGGTTCTTCTGAACACTATCTTAGTCCCTTTTCTGCTGCTGTAACACCACAGCCCAGCTGCAGCTGCTCTCACCACCACAGGTGAGGAGGTGCAGAAGCACCGCTGCCAGCATCTGGAGAGGGCCCTCCCACTGCCAGAGGCAAGAGGCCAGACAGGCACAGGACAGAGGCCAGGGTGGGCAGAGCAAACCAGCCTCGTCCTCATAATCAGTAAGTATACTGATCTACTCAGGAGGGTGTTTAATTACATAAGGCTCTGTCCCAATGACAATGAAATTTCAATGTGAGTTCTGGAGATTTAGTGTAACTGAAGTCACATATTAGCTGCAGAGTTTAAACCTAGTAAGAGTGGCAACCACAGGGAAGTAAACTGAGGCTTTCCATCACCACAATTCAAAAAAGATCTGTGATCACTAGGGAACTCTAAAAGCAATACATTCTAAGTGTGATCATCTTAAATACTAGAAGTAGAAACCAGAATTCTTGATACACAAGAAAAATTAAATCTATTCCTTAATTCTCTTTGTGAAATCCAGTTGATCGTTGAAGCTGAAGCGCAGGGCTGTGGCATGGCCTGGGCATGACTGAACTGAGAACGAGCAGAGGCCTCAAGGGGCAAGCCAGGCCACAGCTGAGGCCACCTGGAGGCCTTCTGGGTAGTATTCCTTAATTAGCATCATCTGTTGCTCTGAGGGGTCCTTGACCCCTCCCAAAGTCCTGCTCAGGTTTCCTCCATTGTCCACTCAACTTGCTTGTTCTGATTATATATGGTGAGTCGGCCGGCCGGCTAGCAGAGTTATAAGCTCTGCCGAGGATTCCGCTCCTCCTGCAGCCCTAAAGATCACGCCACTTGTCTCACGCCTTTGAGCCTTCACCGTGCACCATTTGGGGGCTGGGGATCTAGGCACAGACCCAAACAAAACCTGAGCAAAACAACAATAAAGGAAGAGTTAAAATCTCAAAAGGCCAAATGCGTGATAAAACAACTGCAGACTATCGAGGAGTTCATCGCACTTAAGGCAGAAAGCAGGCCGCTGGAGAAAAGTGAAGGCCAAGTGCCTGGAAGGGAGACAAAAGTGAAAAAGAGGAAGATTTTCCTTAAAGCCCAAGGAACTAGGGAAGGAGACATGTCTAAAAAGACAAGTCCAGTTCTAAGTCCACTCCAGCATTTGACGCCTGCTTTCAATCCCAGAGACGACAACTGCAGACTCATTCTGAGTCGCTGAGCAGGACAACGTGTGGGTTCCAGGACCCTGGCTACCACAGAAGACAGCAGAGACCCCGCCTGAGCAGCACACAGGATGGAACAGAACCCCCAGTAAGCTGCTCAGCAGAGACTGGAGGAGCAGGCGGACAGGGCTGCTAGGAAAATGGCCTCCACTAAACTGGTTAGGAGGCTAAAAGCCTGTTCACCAGGGAGTCACCCTAGAGTGGACCCACAGAGGACAAGCCTCGCTCACAGTACACATGGCTTCCAGGGAGCTGTCAGAGCATCCACGTGAAACTGGGAGAAAGCTTCCAGCAGGAAAGATCAAGTTTAAAACGAAAGACAAAAAAATTAATTTAGAAATCTCAGAAATAACCTGCCAATTACATGAAAATTTTAGCAATGATAATCTGAGAATAACAGAAGCCATTGCTTTTATAAAATATTAAAATTAAAAAGCAATATTCTGGGGGCTGGAGATTTAGCTCAGCGGCATAAGGGCCTGCCTTGCAAGCAGGCAGTCGTGAGTTCAATCCCCGGTACCGATAAAAATGAAAAACAAAAAAAAAACCAATATTCTGAGAAATAGTACAAAATTGGACAAAAGTAGACTAATATAAAATACACAAAAGGCACATGATCAAAAATGAAACAAAAATCAAGAACGTTAGGAGAAATAAACCTGTTTCAATATTTAATAAGCAATCAACAAAAGAACAGAGAATTACTGTAGAGAAAAAATTACCCCCATAAAAACAGTACAACAAGTATCCTAGAACTGAAGAGCGTAGTCTCGGGACTGTGTCCAATGCTACAACGGAGGCTACATCATTAACTGCAGAAACATTACAAGTATAGAAAATGCTGATTTTCTTTTAAAACTAAATTTTAAATGAAAAAGGAGGAAAGTCACATTCGGAAGAGAAAATGAAATGCAAGGGGACCTTTCAATAATGACAATGGAAGCCAGAAAACAAGAAAATGCGTCAATTCTGAAGGAAGCGACCCACATCACTGCACATCACCTCAAAGGCTGCTAAATACACAATGTGTCCAGTTCACTTCCTATGCACATTCCTTAAGAAGCTACTGTAGAGTGTGTTCCACAAGACAAAGAAAAAACCAAGACAGGGGACATGGGAAAAGGAAAAAGGCTAAGGAATATCCAGAAAGATGGAGAAGACCACTGGACAGCACGGTGCCACAGGTTCTGAGGAGCCAGACCAGCCCAATGAGGGCAGCACTGGAGCACTGCGCCCAAATCCGCGGAAGCAAGGTTTTGTTTTTGTTTTAATTTTATTTAAAGAAAAAACCAAACAGTAAAAGGGTACAAGTAATACAGAATTTCAAAAAAAATAAATAAATAAATAAACAGTAAGAAATCACTAGTTAATAGATTACATATTGTCATCTTGGAAATAGTTGTTCAAGTTACAAAATTAAAGCATATAAAGTAGACATTCAAACAGTGAGACTGCAAATAGTTGTGTTCAGTGATCCAACAAAAACTTAGTAATATGGTCATCTATCTTACACACCTAAACACACTTGCAGTTGTGTCCTTTAGAGCACTTTCTTTTCCTCTCTTTTTTACAGTAACATTTACACATTTTGGGTTTATTACTCCCACAGTTCTTACTACTTTTTTTTTGGGGGGGGAAGAGAATAAAACCAAATTTGACAAAACAAAGCAGTCAGTCAAAACAAAGGATGGACATAGTACATGATGTAAAAACAGAATACAAGGTAATGAACAATGGTTATCATAATGCCTCTTGCTACCTTAAAAAGAACTGCCTATATCATCAGGTACAATAAAATTGAACAAAACAGTACAGAACAAAACCAATAAAACCTAAAATATTGGAGACATTACTGAACTTCAAAAGAAGATAACAGTCAAACCAGAATGGGCATCATAGTGAACCTTATTGCCTTCAAGTAGTTGCCTATACCCTCAAACTTGATACTATCAAACAGAATAGAATAGAGTAAAATCAGTCAAAACAAGATGGTGAGAGCAATACAAGACAAGGCTTCAAATCAAGTTAATAAAAAACATTACTAGAATATATCCTGTTAATTTTTTTAATTTTTTCCCTTAATTAAAAAAAATAAATTTTTTAAAAAGGGGGAGATTGAGAGACAAGAGGACATAACAATGTAACAACACAAGTAAGAACAGAACTATTTAAGCAACATAGTGTTTCACCACAAGATAACCTGACTTAACAGTAGTTACCATAGTGTCTCTTTCCTTGAAATATTTGAGTATAACTTCGTATACTATAGTATCAAACATATCAAGACAGTGTGAAACCATTTAAGAGGATGAAAGTATTACAGGGTATTTAGAACAAGCTAACAGAAAACTAACAATGGTTTCTGTATTATCTCTTTGCCTATAAAAAATTTTGTTTATACTATCACATATAATAAAATCCAGTAAGATACAACATGATAAAAGCAATGGCTGCAAGGTTTTGTTGTTAGTTCTAACACTACAGGAAAACCAAGAACATAGGAAAAAAAAAATTCATCCCAAGCATCAAAGTTACTCAAAAGGAAAGAAAGTACAATCACAATGTCACTCAGCTCATCCTCGAGCAATAGTTAATTAAACATTCCAGTCACGAAAACATCAAACACTGACTAAGGTAAAAAACGTAGAACAGGAGAAAAGTGAAGTCTGTCAGGCACAGGGCAGAGAATGTCTTATATACCGTAAAGTCCACAGAGTTTAAAAAAAAAACAGCAGTGCAAGCATTTTATTTAGCATGTAAAGATCAATTTTAGGAAGAACTAACTAGAGAAGTAAGGAGCAGGCTGCTCTGGGAGAGGCAGAAAAAGGAGAGACTGCTGCTTCCTTCTTACAAATCAAGGCACCAGAAGCAGAGAGGACACCGGCAGGAAGGACCCCAAAGCCAGGGAAACACACACTGCTTCACCTGCTGGCCTCAGATCTGAGAAACCCATCACACACCCGACTCCACGTTAATGCTGAGTGACACACCAAGAGATTCAAGGTACCATTCTGTCACTTTATCTGTAGGTTTTTAAAAACACTCTCTGTTCATCTACCCAACAAACAGTATGTACAGGAGGGTAATATCACAACTGCACCAGAAATGTGTGGGTTCACCCACTGATTCAGAACAATAACAGACGGAGTTAAAAATTCTAAACACTCTTCCAAAGTTTTAATAACATATAACTACTAGAAAGATGGAGAAGCATTTTCCCCTGTATTTAGCACTTTCATATCAACAATAGTGGTACAATGTCTTAGGTAAACTGAGGAAAACACCCTACAGACATAGAGACATTTATACACGTATATTTTTACTCACACATCTGTTTAATTCTCAAACAATCAAGATGGAATTTTGATTATGAGAAATATTTGACACAAAATAGGAAAATGAGGCCAACATATCTGAAACTATTTTAAGACTTCAGATTTCAGGCCAATTTTCTTTTCATTAACAATTATTTTCAAATTCCAAAGTCTGTGTCTTGGCCCTGAATTCTAATGATAACAAATGAACTATTTTTCTTCAGTAAATTATGAAATGCACTTATCATTTTTCAAAAGATTTCCAGACAAGTGCTAAAGCTGTCTGGACAATCACAGTATCCAGACAGTTGTCTGGATATTCAGTGGATACTCACATTGACTAATCCAAAATAGTGCTCGTTGACTGGAAACTGTTCTGGACCAATCTCTTTCTCTAATGCCGAGGCATTGGCGCCCTGTAAGGTGAAAATTTAAAACAGAAAATCTTAATATTCATAGTATCTTCAAAATGTGGAAACAATTACATAGGCATTATAGAGCTGAGCTTTCTTTTTTTGAAAGTCTCTAACTTATATTTAGGTATACGTAATAATCACATTCCTCAAAAGGAATTTTTACTTGTATGTGATATATTTTCTTTTTCTTTCCCATTCGCCTACCCTCTCTTCATCTCCCTCTCCCCTCCTCATTTACAAAAACTTTGTTTCCATTTTTTCTTTCTTTTCTCAATTTTTTTCTTTGCCCTTCCTTCCTCTTTCCTCCCACACATTCAATCCGTTTCCCATTTCAGCATTTTCTTCCTGTTTCATAGTATTTATTACACATTTTGGTCATCATTTACACTTTCAGTTTCTCACACAAAAGAAACAATGCAGAATTTACACATGTGTATTCAATTTACAGAGTGGTCTCCAGGTGCATCCATTTACCTAAAAATATCTCGAATTTATCCTTCCTTATGGCTGAACAGTTCACCACTGTATTTAAAAAAAAGTGCACATCTTCATTCCTTCATGTCAATGGGATATGAGCTGTTTCCAAGATTTAGCTATTATACACTGTGCTGCCATAAACAGGGATGTGCATATATCACCGCGGTACAATGTTTTTAATTCTTTAAGAAGATACCAAAAAGGAGAATAGCTAGGTCAAATGGAACCTCTGGTTTTAGTTTTTGAGGAATCTCCACACTGCTCTTCCACAACAGCTGCACCAGTCTACACTCCCACCAACAGTGGTGAAGGCGTCCTTTCTCCTCAGCCCCTCCAGCATTCGTTATTGGTTGATTTCTTGATAATAGCCTGGTAACAGCCATTCTTTCTTGAATGAGATAGAATTTTAGCATTCTTCTAATTTGCATCTCCCAAATGGCCAGTGATTAAGACATCTAGATTTAATAACCAAATTCAGTCACAAGGCTAGATAAAAAAATCAACTCAGAAATCAACAGCATTCCTGTATACAAATAACGAACTAAAAGAAAAATTAGGGAAACCATACCTTTCATAATTGCATTTAAAAATGAAATACTTAGGAATCAATCTAATAAAGAAAAGATCTTTACTCTGAAAACTATAGTACTCCGAAAAAGATCGAAGAGGATCTCAAAAAGTAGAAAGATATCCCTTGCTCTTGGGTAGGAAAAAACAACAGTGAAAATGACCATACTCTCAAAATGGTTATAGATTTAAAGCAATCCCAACCAAAATACCATTAGCATACCTCACAGAATTAGAGAAAACATTCTGAAAATTCATTTGGACCCAGAAGAGACCTAGAAGAGCAAAAAAATTCTGGGCAACAAAGGCAAGGCAGGGGGCATCACAAACCCTGAACTGAAATTATACTGCAAAGCTCTACTGTGATAAAAACAGCATGGAGCTGGGATGGGGGGGAGACACACAAAAAACAGACCTAAGGATTAATGGAAGATGCAGAAAAAACTCCAAACACACTCCCATCATTTCTCTGACAAAGTAGTCAGACATCTTCACTGGAAGAAAGATAGCCTCTCCTCGGGGCTGGGGATTTAGCTCAGCGGCATAAACGCCTGCCTTGCAAGCAGGCAGTCATGAGTTTGATCCCTGGTACCGATAAAAACGAAAAAGACAAAAAAAATAAAGAAAAGAAAAGAAAGATAGCCTCTTTAATAAATGGTGCTGAAAAACTGGCTCTCCATATGCCAAAGACTAAAACCAGACCCATGTGTGTCACCATGTACTAAACTAACATCAAAATGGATCAAAGATCTAAATATTAAAACAGAAACACTAAATCTGCATGAAGAGAAAACAAAACTGTTGAAGACACAGATACAAGCAAAGACTTTATAAACAAAAAGTCCAATACCACGGTAAATATATAAAGAATCAACAACGGGGATCTCATCTTATTTAAAAGCTTTTGCAAGGGCTGGGAATATAGCTCAGCGGCATAAATGCCTGCCTGACAAGTGTGAGGTCATGAGTTTGATCCCCAGTACCCAAAAAAAAAAAGCTTTTACAAAGCAAAAGAAACTACCAACAGAGTGAAAAGACAACCCAGAGAAGGAAATCTTTGCTAGCTGTTCCTCAGACAAAGAACTAATATCTAGACTATATAAGAGCCCCTGAAAAAAAAAAATCATACCCCCCAAATTTAAAGACTCAAACTAAAAATGGACATCTGAAATGAATAGACTTCTCAGATGAAGAATGGAAACAGCAAACACGTATATGAAAAAATGTTCAACACCCCGAGTTATTCAAGAAATGCAAACTAAATAACAGATTGTAGAGATGTCTTCTTCAAAACTATGCTCCATTCCTGTCACACCAACCTAATGTTACTGAAAGAAAATAACGGATGACGTTGAAAGTAACATCTATTAATCATATGACTTAAAACTAGTTTACAGAAACTTTCTCAAGAAATTAAAACCTAAAGTCTAAATAAAGAATTATGTCCCTAACATGTTCCTTTTCCTAAGAAATTAATGAAAGCTCCTGGAAGTCAGGCATTCCAGTAAGAATAAAATACAACGGCAACCCCTCAAGAGCCGAGACTTTCTAAAATGACATGTACACACACAACGGCCTAACAATTTAAGGTTTATTATGAGAAATTCTCCCACAGAATGCCAGGTGACATGAATGTTTACCACCATATCATCCGTGACTGCAGAGGCGACAGAAGGAGAACCACCCCTGAAGAAGAACTAGAAGATGGAACACTACACTACACGATACAGTCAGAGTAAATAATTATGCTTACATGTAGATACAGGTAAATCTCAAAAATACAATTAAATTTAAAAATTACCAGACACTACCATACGTATCTTTACACACAGAAAGCAGACTGGGAGGGTACACATGAAATATACTTGAAGGGGGGCTGGGGATTTAGCTCAGCGGCATAAGCACCTGCCTTGCAAGTAGGCAGTCGTGAATTCGATCCCCGGTATGGATAAAAAAATACATATATATATAGACTTGAATGGCTACTGGAAGAGGGCTGGGACATGGAATCAGGGGTGGAGGACAAGAAGGAGAAAACAGAATGAAATCCAACAAAAGGAGGACCCTACACAGACAGTCAGGATGTGTTTCAGTTTCAGGAATATGGTGAATGCACCTCTTACACCAGAAGTCCCTGAAGAACACTTGAAGGGAGAAAGAATAATCAAGACCCTTGGCATCAGAGCAGATTAGCACACATATAAACACATAAATGTAGTTTAAAAATGGAAATGAGAGCAATTCTGAGAACATGAAAACTCCCAAGAAATAATTTTAAAGTGCCCAAAAAGTCACTTAGAAGAGTTACAAAGATAACACACCCACATAAATCTGTCTCCTTGACTGCAACAATCAGAACTCCTATTTCCTCGGGAGGCCCAGAAACCTAGTTAAGACTCATCTTCCGCTTCTTCAGCAGTCAAGATTGCAAGTCAGCACAGGTCGGTGATGAGTTACTGGACAGTTTCCACCAAACCGAGACATCCCCTCAAGTCTCCTTCCGCCAACCAGCTCCTGCATATACAGATTATTTTCTGTATTTTTTAAATTTGGGAAATTACTTTCAGATTTTACATAAAACCTTGATACAATCCCTAGCTAACACATACAATGTAATTTACTTCTAAAGTTTAGATCAATTCAACTGCCACACGCAACTTCAAAATTCACTGAACAAAACTGGCAGAATGCGCCAGGATATAACTCAGCAGCACAGTGCCTGCCTGCCTGCCTAGCAAACGCAAGGTCGTGAGTTCAATTCCTAGTACCTCAATAAATAAATAAAACTGGCAGAATGCAGTCTTACCTCCAGTCCCACCAACTTAAGCGCCTTGTCACAAAATTTTCTAACACATTTGGGGGGAGGAATCAATACACCCAAAATTTTACCACCTGTTATAAAAATTCAAATGAATACTATTATAAATGAATATAACTCCTCCCCCCTCAAAAATAAAGAAAAGGTACTACCATTCAAAATACACCCTCATGGGGCTGGGTAAAGACCTAGGTCAGTGGCATAAGCGCCCCCATGTGCCTATTTACAACAATACAATATCAGCATACATCTTACAAAAACATTTCTGACCCTTCAAATGCACTAAGTACAGAACGACAAGTAAACAGTCTCTCCAATTACTAATCACACGCTGATCTCTCCAGTTACTAATCACACACCGTGCCCCTGTATTCTTAACTACATGCTCCATTTGTTCCCAGACACACCACACTTTGATTCATGCTCAGAGAGCTCCTCCCCATCCTCTTTTTTGTGTGTGTGTTTTTGAGACAGTCTCTCTAAGCAGTCCAGGCTGGCCTTGAGCTCACAAGGATCCTCCTGCCTCAGCCTCGCGAGTGCCGGGATTCGCGAGCCACCACGCCTGGCGCTTTCCCCATCCTCTTCACCAGTTTCAACTACAAGGATTAGCTAGCTACCTCTGCCTCAGTTTTCCAGCTGTAAAAGGAAAAATGTTAGCAACAATTGTATAAGGTGAGATTCACGGAGTTTCACCTTTCATACGCTGGCGATAACATATAGATGGGTGTGTCTCAGAAATGCTAATTCTCTTTTCCCCCTTCCTTTCAATCTCAAAGAAAATAAACTCATTAATCAGTCATGAAAATAAATCTGATCTGCTCTGTGCAAAAGCTAAAAAAGAAACAAAACTCAGGGGAAAAAAGCTATTAAAAAATAAAAAACAGACCCTCTCCAGGGTTTGTCCAGCAAGAGACAACAAAACCACTACACTCTTTGAAATTCTAGTAACAAAGCAGAATGGTAACCTAGTTCAGAGATCTGGAAAGCGGAAGGCAAGTGGAAAGAACTGCAGAGCAAACACTGAACTCTTGTAAAGAAACTTGATTTGCAAAATAAAAGGATCAGAATGCAAAGCCATTTTCAAAACCCTCAGGTCCAAGTTTATTTGTTGGGTTTTCATTAAGCTTGTACTTAGTTC